TGACTGTACCACCAGACACGTGAAAACCACGTGAAGCCACAGAGAAAGATTTTCCACAGAGGAATGTGGGTGCCAGCCAGCCCGGCAGAGCAGGGCTGGGGCACGCAGGACACTATGTGTAAGGCAAGCAGCACCCCCACATGGAAAGCAGCTCCAGTGCAGGCACGGGAGGCTGTACCTGATTTCTGCTGTAAGATGCTGACAAACAATGCAGAGAAGAGCTCAAACAGCTAAGAAAATTCTTTGGGGAAAGAAACTGGGAGAAGAGAGTTTCATAATTTTTATCAGTAAGAGGTGTGGTGGGCAGCTCGTTGGCCCGGGGAGGACAAAAATGCCTGGAATCAGAGATCCACAGGGCAAACAATACACAGTGATTTGTGCCAGGCTGCTCCGTGGAGCTCTGCTTCCCTCTGCCTGCCCACCTCCAGCAGTGCCCTGCCGCAGGGAGCAGTACGAGCCTGCAGACCCACCCCCGCGGACTTTCCTCCAACTCCTCGCCAGTAGCCAGCCAGCTGGGAAGACTGGAGGGTATGAGGGACACTGATCACAGCATTACCTCCCGTTTCTGCCTACCCAGCCCCTGCATGTACCCAGGACAGTGCAGCACATCCTCACCTGGCAGCACAAGTCCCTGCGCTCCAAGCCCATGGCACCAGGGAGCCCGGGAGCTGCTGAGGCTGCACCGAAACTGTCTCCTGGGCTGGCCAGGACACTGGGTCGTCCAGACCTTAGGCCTGTTCTGCTCCACCACCTGAGACCCACTGAGGTCAACATACTGAACACAGGTGCCACCCATGAGCACATGACATCCCCCCCAACCATGAGCTCTCAGACAAAATCTGGCACCTGCCATGGTCAGGAGGGCCTTCCAGCAGCAGAGAGGTGATGCCGTTACCTGAGGAGCTTGTAGTAAAGGAAGCGGAAGGCCTCCTGCAGCAGCACAGAGAACATCACACCAAATATCAAGAGCCCTTTCTGCAGCCGTTCATCCCGGGGGTCGCTGGCTTTAACCGCAATAAACCAGATGAGGGAGGAGAGCAG